TCTCTCAGGATGTAGATTGGTACCTTGCCACCGCGCTCTTCGGAGTGCCTATGGCTGGGCTCATGATCCAAAACGTCTACATTTTGCATGACGTTTTGCACGGTGCCACCTTCCCTCCTTATGAGTGGCAGAAGTACATCACTCACTGCTGGGCTGATCAGTTTTCATTGCCCTGGGAGGAGGTTGTTCTGGAGCACCAGAGGCACCATGCCAGCACTGTGGACCTTTTGGTGCATGGAGAGTTTGGCTGGGACCCAGCAGGATGGCTCTATGTCTTGCAGGAGTGGACTGACAAGTGGTATGGATGGTTGACTGTGCCCTTGGTTCCAGTTTGGCATTGGATTGGTGCCAATGACACTGGCGCTCTCTTTGCCATGCTGTGGTACTCCAATTTCCCAGATCAGGGCGCTGGTGGCAAGTGCAACAAAGATTTCTGGGGAAAGTGGATACCTAACAGAATCCGCCACTGCCTGTTTGTGGCATCCCTGTGGACTTGCGTGTGGCTTTTGGGAACTTGGCCTTTGGGAAGGCCTCTGTCTGAGGGCTGGCGATTCTTCGTCCCCGTGACAGTGGCCTGCCGCACTGGCTTCACCATTGCATGGACATTCTTCACCAACTTCAACCACTCCCACTGGTGGAATGAGTTCCTGGCCCTGAACCCCAACCGCAGCTACCCTGTCCTCTCTAAAGTCATGGCATGCCTTCTGGGTGGCCGCCACCGTTTCAACGAGATGCTCTTCCATGATCTTCACCATGCTTTCCCCAATGCTGTTGGGGCTTTGAGTCAGCGTGGTCGTTTCCATGGTTGGGAGAAGGTTCACGATGCAGCTGTGGATGTGTTGAGCCGTGGCTTGTTTTTGCAACAAGCAGATGGAAATCAGGAGTCGCCCATGCAGAAGATCCAGAAGAAGCGATCTTTGCTTGCAAAATCAGATGGCAAAGCTGCCAACCACTTGAACAGCTGAAGTTGCAGGCTCAGGAGATCTTTGACGTTCTTCGAAGTACTTCGAAGTGCATGTCATGACCACAGGCACTGGCTGTGACAGGATCCGGAAACTCTGGAAACTGTTTTCCCACGGTCGTCCTGAATGTGTAATTTTCGAGCGAAAGTAAGACGCTCTCCAAGGCATGTACAGACTTTGGCCTGCTTTTGCCGACTAAGTCGCACCTTACTGTACCAGTTGGTGACATACATGACATGCAAGACCGGCTGTCCCGGCAGTTAAAAGAACCGAGACAACCAATAACCAATGTTTGTGAATGTTTGTGATTTATCGAAGGAAGGGCAATACTCTAGGGTTGAATTGTCAGAAAAAATAGAGTCCCTGTGGTCGCGCTGCATCAGGCCCTCACTCGCAAGCGCATGGAAGCTGGCAAGGAGATGAAGGTGCGTCATGCAGTGGTCGTCATATTGAAGAGTCGTTGCTAGTTGACAATTGGTCGAATTGGTGTCAAAATTGATGCTACGTCTGTTTGATATTGTGGGTCCGATGCTGAACCTCCGGGATGGCGATGGAGATAGAGAGAGAGAGAGATTTGATTTGGTACAAAAAAATGCACACATTTGTTGGATATATAATTGTAATGTTGACATGGTGTCACTATAATATGTACTATGACCGCAATTTCCCAGACCCAACCATTTGGACAGGTTGTGCTAGTTGCGCATGTCTTTATTTTGTGGACATGGGAGGCTGCTTACCAGAAGCGTCTCTCTGAGTACCACCATGAGCAGAAGGAGAAGCGTGCCGCCGAGCTGCAGAAGAAGAAGGCCGAAATGCAGCGGTCACAGTCATGAGTCACTACTCAGTAGGCACCGTCACGAAGTTTTGTGTCCACAGTGTATACGCTACATGGACTCGGACCATGTGAATCTACAAGGCTAACCTATGTCAAGCTCATAGGAAAAAGTGGTATCATCTACAGGTAGAGGAGCTTTGATGAGATTGATGTGCATGGATATTCTTAGTTTTACTGTCAAAAAATTACGGTACAGTGCGATGTGGCAGCGTCGCTGTAGGCCAAGAAGGGCAACATGGACTGAGATCCGCTGAGTCCTTGACAAATCCTGACGACCCAACAGATGACCGCCCTGCCGGTGCAAAAAAAGAGTCCATTCGAGCTGACGGCTGATCCCAGAATGATGGAGTATGACAGAGCTGGAAGAAATTGGAAGAAAAAGTTGAAAAAGGGATCAAATTTTGAGGTTCGAGGAACCCCTTAATGACATTTAATGACCTTAATGCTTGTTGGCCACACATGCCACTTTCGAATCACTTTCGAATGAACTGGTTCGAATGGCCAGGTCAGACCGAGGCCGGTGCCGGTGAAGCCGGAGCTGAGGGAGGCTCTGCGCACCGCGTGGCCAAATTGACTGAGGCTACACCTGGGATGTTGACATGTTTGTGAAGCTTTGTGACATGTGGTGTGATATGAATTGATGGAATATCGCCCATATGTCATTTCTGATATTACTGTAGTTGTTGACATGCTTGCCATATCCTGGCCATTGGATGCAAGGGATAGATAAGGCTCAAGGATGCGAGAGAGGCAATGAGTGATGAGATTATCAGGTTTGCTTCAGGGCTAGTTTGATTTTGCGGTGGATTTGAGAACTTCCCTCAGCCGAGACCAGCTCAGGCAGAATTATGTGAATTTTAGATAATTTTAAGCATTTTTTGACACAGTCTCATGTGGTGTCATGCTGGCAAGCATGCTGGAGAGCCATGTCTATTTCTCGTTTCACCCTAGGATTTACCCAGACATTGATTCAATTGATGTCCAGATGTCCATTTCAATGGGAGCAAAACCTCCAACGATTCAGCTGCGAGGTGAGCTGGTCACAGGTGCCTGTGTGATGAATCTCAGAATGGCTGCGATACTGATGTCCAACCGGCGACACACCTGCACTTGATGGGCCAGACGTTTGTCCGAGGCCAACCATTTATCAAAGAGGAGCAGTGCGAGTGGCCTGGTCCCAGGAGAAGCGGAATTGAGTCCCAGGAGATGTGGAGAGTTTAGAGGAAACGTCCCGCATGTGCCATGTGCCGCATGTGCCGCATGTTTTGCGGACTTTCAATTCTCGCATTGACAAATCGATCAAGGACCACATGGCTTTATTATGCTTCATTGGATATGACTGGTTCTGTCAATGCAGCATCCCCCAAGTTGCGGTTGAAACTTGCCTACACCAGGACCTTTCTGAATCGACCTCACAAACGTACGACAAACATCATACTGTACAGATCTGTACATCCTTTTTTTCATTCTTTGAGCTGGAGAATCTTGCTCCCAGGCTGAAACTCATTGTCGTGGCATCACCTTGCAGCAGCTCAAGGCGGCTGAAGGGCATGCAGCTTGCTATAAGTGGCTCCAATGGAATTGGTTGGATTCAAAGGATTTGAACAGATCCCTCCAATTCCCTCCATCAATTCACAGGTTTGCCAAACACATGATTCAGGATCAGGACAAGCAAAATAACTCTTATCATCTTATCATTTTATCATTCTCAGTGCATTGCGTGATCCCATGTATATAAGTCGCCTGTATGTATATCACAACCTGCATTGGAATCATTGGACACATGGACACACATACTTCAGGACCGAGATCTTAGAGTATTTTGAGTCTCTCCAAGAATGACCGATTGTCCCAGATGAAGGAGGATGCGGTGCATGGCAGTGCACCGTATTGTCCTTTAATGTCCTTTAATGCTATGCAGTCTGCTCTGCATCTCCCACTTTGGATCTTTGCTCATGCCCCATTGGGATCTTCCCAGCGCGGGCTGGCCACCAATCAAATGGACAAACAAGTTCAGACCAAGGGAGAACCGCACGCTTGACAGAAGTGTTGAACAGGTTGGATCGGAAACTCAAATGCTATTGGCATCTTACAAATCTTACAAAATCTTACAAGCAGAAATCCTTTGACATGACATGACTCACATTCATCCTCTTGGAAGTGTGGCAGCAGTCCGCACTTCGCAGATCTTCGCATTGTTGACGCCATGGGGCAAGGACACTCTTCCGATTTACATCCTTTGAACATTTTGTCCTTTTGCGATTGGCCACACCGGGGTATTTGTACCCAGCTGAGCCCAGCGCTGCGATCCTCACTGCAACTGGAGGATGGACAAGGCCACTTGGTTTTTGGGTTTTAACACCTTTCTAGAGGCTTGGGAAATTTACAGTGACCAAGTCAAAATTGCAAGCATTACAGAAAAGAAGCTTTGGGGTGAATTTAAGAGTTCGACAGCAGACCAGATACAGTAGTCTGGACAGGTTTGGACGCCTGTTCTGAGGCTACTGGCATTTCCTTTGCGAGCGACTTGCTGAAGAACATGACATCTACTTTCCTCGTGATGGTACGGACCCTGTCAAGAAGTGCCCTGTAGCGAGAGACTGGCGAGAGCTATTTTTGGAGCTCTATGCCATCAAGGCCTTGTGGGAGCGCATCAGATGCACACATTCTATACTCGTATCATCTCGTATCATCTGGTACTGTATCACATTATCACATTCTCTCAATGCACACCTCGCATTTTTATACAGTCCCCAAGAGGTTGCCACGAGTATTTACTCTTGTGTCAAGCCCCTCTACAACAGTTTGACATGCTCTAAGGAGGATGGGGCAGGACTCTCAAACGGATTTCTTTTGGAAGAGGCAACATGGCATGGCCCACATCTGCTTTTCCTCCAATTCCAGGAGGCTTCCAAACGAGCAAATGGTGAGAACCGTGAGGACTGCTGTGTGCAGTGAATGAAACTTCGCTAGTTCCGCCAAGGCCAAAGTTTTTTAGGCTCCAGTTCACACTGACCCTTGCTGCTTTCAGTACACAAGTAGTCATTTGTTGTTGCTCTCAGGAACATATCAACATCATGAAACTTTGAATTTCAGAGTGCCACAAAGTGATGCAGTGATACAGCAGTAACGCACACGCACCATTGAACACGAGACTGAAGGACTTCAAGATTGGGGTTGCTGCACGATTTCGTCCCTCCATGAACATCAGCAACCTGGTGAATGATGAGGATGGGGTGGTTTTGCCACTACATCAGAAGGTTCAGCTCGTCCGAAAACAACTTGGCTGTACGTCGAAGGAGGCAGTGAGCCTCATAATGAGGAAACAGCAACGCTTGAAGACCGGAAAGGACACCTTGGAGAGTGCGGGTGACTCAATCTTCCAACCATGTCTGTCACCTGGATATGCCAACAAAGAAAACCTGGAGTCCAACAATGCCCTCATCGAGCCCATCGAGAAGAATGTTGAGCTTCGGCTTTATGGCAATTCAGACTTTTGTAGCTTAGGTTGTTTCAGTTGCCACTCGTTCCAATTCCAACCCCAACTCTGAGACTACTAGTATGATATGATATAGTATAATGAGCTGCCGCCCCTGCCGCCGACCCCGGAAAAAAAAGGACGAGGTGTTTTTGCCAGATAGCATAAACGGGAAAAGTGCCTAACGTTGCTGCTGAAGCCTTAGAAAATGAGGTTTCTCTGCTTTTTCCGCACTTCTTGCCACCTTCTAGAAAGGCTTATAAACGGGAAGAGTGCCTAACGTTGCTTCTGAAACCTTAGAAAATGATGTTTCTCTGCTTTTCCGCATGTCTTGCCACCTTCTAGTTGCCACCTTCTAGAAATGCTTATAAACGGGAACAGTGCCTAACGTTGCTTCTGAAAGCTTAGAAAATGAGGTTTCTGTGCTTTTTTTCGCACTTCTTGCCACCTTCTAGAAAAAGGCTTATAAACGGAAAACGTGCCTAACCTTGCTTCTGAAACCTGTGAAAAATGGGGTTTCTCTGCTTTTCTGTGCTTCTTGCCATCTTCAAGGCTTATAAACGGGAAAAATGTTGCTTCTGAAACCTTAGAAAACAAAGTTTCTCTGCTTTTTCCGCATTTCCTGCCACGTTGCTTCTGAAACCCTAAGGAGTAGTATAAATAGTATATTAGTACTAGTACTCGTACTAATACTGGTACTACCAGTAGTACTAGTAGTACGTAGTATCGCACCTTTTGCATGCTCTTTCCGATGTTCTTGAAACCCTCTGAAACCCTAAGGAGTAGTATAGTATAGTTAGTAGTAGCAGTATAGTTACAGTAGATGTTGTAGTAGTAGTAGTAGTTGTTGTTGTTGTAGTTGTAGTTGTAGTAGTTGCAGTAGTAGCAGTAGTAGTAGTAATAATAGTAGTAGTTGTTGTTGTCGTTGTCGTCGTCGTCGTCGTCGTCGTTGTTGTTGTTGAAACAGAAAGAGAAACAGAAACCTGTAATCCTTGACGCGCTCCCCTTTGCATCAGCCGTGGTAGGCGGATATACACTGACTTTGCATGCCTAGACTAGATTTGCTCAGGAGATGGACGACGTCGCCATTGACGTACGTTGTTCCATTCTCTCAGTCCAGGAAGAGAAGGCATCAGTTGCTCAGCAAAGTTCGGATATGAAGGCTGACATCTTAAAAGCAAACTGTTGGCCTTTGGACTTTCTTCAGTCTGAACTCGAAGTCACGAAGTCCAGACCCTTGGCCTCTCTAGCGCCATCCAGTAGGTCACTCGTAGCAGACTGACAGCCGTCGCCCGAGATATCCCGAGGTTCTCGCAGTGACGAAGAACAGCGGCCTTCACGACTTTGCCTTTGACCGCGTCTTTGGGGAGCGCAGCGGTCAGCCACAAGTCTACGAAGCAGCGGCGCGGCGCCTGGTGATGGAGTTCTTGAATGGAACCAGTGCCAGCATCATTTGTTGCTTGATCCCAAGTTCCAAAAATCCAATTCACATTTTGCAGCTCTGGGATTTGAGTAAGAGAAATCCATTCTGCTCTGCAGTTTCGACAGTCTACATTCAAGGAATGATGGTCTCTCCTGCCAAATGGCCAATGCAAAAAAACTAACTAGGATAACTAGGGCAGTGACATGCAGTGACACATTTCCTTGGACCTCTGAAATGGCTTCATGGATCTTCATGGCATGTAGATACATGTGGACCATGCTTTTCATAGGAAGCAACAGCACGATGCTCAGGCTACGGTCAGACAGCCAGTGGCAAAACGCACACTATGTTTGGACCTCCAACCACTGGCCAACTGACAGTCGCCGACCACCAAATGCAAGGTCTTGTTCCAAGGACAGACGTTGCAGCTGCCAGATGCTGCTAGCATGTCCTGAGTTGACTTAAGTTGACTTGGAAGTCTGCAAAACAACTCTACATGCTTCGAGTTCACTCATCCTTCCTGTGCAACACGACAACTAAAAACAGCAACGAGTCCAAGGACCCAAACATTTATACAATTTCTTCATATTTCTTCCACAAATCATAAATCTTCGTACATCCATAATTTTCCAATGCAGGACCTGTGCAGAGGTCTTGCAGGCAGTTGACCACTGGCGCTCACGCGGGCTTGAAGTTCGGCTGAGTGCCAGCTATGTGGAACTTTTCGGAAGTGAGGCACTGAGGGTCTTCGCGCCAACCGTCTCGCTGTTCTAACCCATGTCAATCACAAAAATGAACTTCTGACAGGGAGTTCTTTGAAAGGAAACACTTTTACTCGCTTTTAGAATGCTCTGATGTGTTCGGACTCTTTGCGCTTTCTTCTTTGGTGCTAGTGTAGGGATGTGTAGGGTGGGTCCAGAGAGGTCCCAGGGTTGCTTTTAAGCCACGAGCCAACAGCTAACGGCTAACGTGCACTCGTGTGCACTTGTATGCACTTGTGGCATCTGCAATGAAAGTATCCATTTGCATTCATTTGCCCTGAGCTTTGGATGGGGGCTGTGGAGTTCTCTCCTTTGTTGGTTTATCGGTGCATTGTGCATTGGCAGGTTTCTGATCTTCTTCGGGAGGGCCGAGTGGTGGGCCAACATCGTGAAGGGCGCTACTCTGCAGTGCGTGCGACCGATCGAGTCGGCCATCGCTATGTCTTGGACGGGCAGCTGGGCCTTTTTGCAGTGGGTTGGAAGAGGAAACTTGAGGAAACGTTCTATAATCTGTATTGTATAAAAATCTATAATAATAATTAAAGGACCGGATAACCCCACATGTTACCAACTTCTTTAGACTTAGACTGAGCAGAGAAAGCGAGAAGGGAAGAGGAAGTATGAGAGTGATGGAGGGACGATGGTGGTATGTATGTAGGTATGTATGTAGGTAGGTGAGTTTGTGTGTGTGTGTATGTATGTTCAAGTACAGTGAGTGAGTGAGGGAGGGAGGGAGTGAGTGAGGGAGTGAGTAGATGGATTGTGTGAGTTGTGTGAGTTGTGTGAGTTGTGTGAGTTGTGTGAGTTGTGTGTGTGTGAGTGTGTGAGTGAGTGAGTGAGTGAGTGAGTGAGTGTGAGTGAGTGAGAGTGAGTGAGTGAGTGAGTGTGTGTGAGAGTGAGTGAGTGTGTGTGTGTGTGAGTGAGTGAGTGTGAGTGAGTGAGTGAGAGTGAGTGTGTGTGTGTGTGAGGCGTACATCCGACCCCTTGGCACTGCACATTGTCCCACGCCTGCCACGCAAAAGAGGCGGAGACCCAAGGGACGCCAGGGCGTACATCCGACCCCTTGGCGGTGCACATTGTCCCACGCCTGCCACGCAAACGAGGCGGAGACCCAAGGGACGCCAGGGCGTACATCCGACCCCTTGGCGGTGCACATTGTCCCACGCCTGCCACGCAAACGAGGCGGAGACCCAAGGGACGCCAGGGCGTACATCCGACCCCTTGGCAGTGCACATTGTCCCACGCCTGCCACGCAAAAGCGGCGGAGACCCAAGGGACGCCAGGGCGTACCTTGGCGGTGCACATTGTCCCACGCCTGCCACGCAAAAGAGGCGGAGACCCAAGGGACGCCAGGGCGTACATCCGACCCCTTGGCAGTGCAAATGGTCCCACGCCTGCCACGCAAAAGAGGCGGAGACCCAAGGGACGCCAGGGCGTACATCCGACCCCTTGGCAGTGCACATTGTGCCACGCCTGCCACGCAAAAGAGGCGGAGACCCAAGGGACGCCAGGGCGTACATCCGACCCCTTGGCAGTGCACATTGTGCCGCGCCTGCCACGCAAAATGCACATGAGTGAGTGAGTGAGTGAGTGAGTGAGTGAGTGTGTGCGTGAGTGTGTGAGTGAGAGTGAGTGAGTGAGTGTGTGAGTCAGTGTGTGCCACGCAAAATGCACATGAGTGAGTGAGTGAGTGTGTGCGTGAGTGTGTGAGTGAGAGTGAGTGAGTGTGTGAGTGAGTGGAGACCCAAGGGACGCCAGGGCGTACATCCGACCCCTTGGCAGTGCACATTGTGCCACGCCTGCCACGCAAAATGCACATGAGTGAGTGGGTGAGTGTGTGCGTGAGTGTGTGAGTGAGAGTGAGTGAGTGAGTGAGTGAGTGAGTGTGTGAGTGAGTGTGTGCCACGCAAAATGCACATGAGTGAGTGAGTGAGTGAGTGTGTGCGTGAGTGTGTGAGTGAGAGTGAGTGAGTGAGTGTGTGAGTGAGTGTGTGTGTGAGTGAGTGAGAGTGAGTGAGTGAGTGTGTGTGTGTGTGAGTGAGTGTGTGAGTGAGTGAGTGTGTGAGTGAGTGAGTGTGTGAGTGAGTGTGTGAGTGAGTGAGAGTGAGTGAGTGAGTGAGTGAGTGAGTGTTTGTGTGTGTGTGTGAGTGTGTGTGTGAGTGAGTGAGTATGTGTGTGTGTGTGAGTGAGTGTGTGTGTGTGAGAGTGTGTGAGTGTGTGAGTGAGTGAGTGTGTGTGTGTTTGAGTGTGTGAGTGAGGAGGAGGACGGGCGGGCGGAGGCGGCGGATACAGAACTATAAACAAAAACCCGACACGTCAATGTGGGGAAAAAACACCTGGAGGCTAAGCTGCTGGAAAATGAACCGGTCAGAAAAGACACAGTCGGCTGCTTTCACCTACGATCCGGATGATCAAGCCCGCGTGCCATGTCGCCACGGAAATCTTGGAGGTGCTTGCGTCTGGCGGCAAAAACTTTTTCGGCGGTCACAAAAAAAAACACCTGGAGGCTAAGCTGCTGGAAACTGAACCGGTCACAAAATGTCACAAAAGACACAGTCGGCTGCTTGTAAACTGCTGGAAAATGAACTGGTCAGAAAAAACACAGTCGGCTGCTTTCACCTGGTCCGGATGTTCAATACCGTGTGCCACGTCGCCACGGAAATCTTGGAAGTGCTTGCATCTGGCGGCAAAAACTTCTGGCGGTCACAAAAAAACAACCTGGAGGCTAAGCTGCTGGAAAATGAACCCACCTGGAGGCTATAAGCTGCTGATACCAACAAAAATGAATCTATCTATCTATCTGTCTATCTACCTATCTGTCTATCTGTCTATCGGTCTATCTGGTCTATCTGGTCTACCTGGTCTATCTGGTCTATCTGGTCTATCTATCTATCTATCTATCCATCTATCTATCTATCTATCTACTCTTATTTATCTATTCTTATCTATCTATTATTCTCTATCTATTCTTATCTATCTCTTCTTATCTATCTATTCTTATCTATCTATTCTTATCTATCTATTCTTATCTATCTATTCGTATCTATCTATTCTTATCTATCTATTCGTATCTATCTATTCTTATCTATCTATTCTTATCTATCTATTCTTATCTATCTATTCTTATCTATCTATTCTTATCTATCTACTCTTATCTATCTACTCTTATCTATCTACTCATATCTATCTACTCTTATCTATCTATTTTTATCTATCTATCTGTCTATCTGTCTATCTGTCTATCCGTCTATCTGTCTATCTGTCTATCTGTCTATCTGTCTATCTGTCTATCATTGTCTATCTACCTATCTATCTATCTATCCATCCATCCATCTATCTATCTATCTATACATCTATCTATCTATCTATCTATCTATCTATACATCTGTCTATCTATCTATCTACCTATCTATCTATGGCTCTGTCTGTCTGTCTGTCTATCTATCTATCGATCGATCTATCTATCTATCTATCCATCTGCAAGCTTGAAAACGAAGCTATTCTGCGAGACTTCCTCAATTTGTAAACTTGACAACATCAAAAAAGCAGGAATTCAGCGAGACTTCCTCAATTTTTGCACTTGACAACACGAAAACGAAGCAACTCTGCGAGACTTCCTCATTTGTTTAAAGTTGACAACATCAAAAACGAAGCCATTCTGCGAGACTTCCTTCAAAAATGGAAAGTTGAGTGCAGAGCTGACGGCCTCGTACCAATGCGTTTGCAATTTTTCCAATCCATCTGTCTAAACTACTGCGCCTGCCACGAGAAGTGATGCCAGGTCATACGAAGTGCTGCACCTGTCATGCAAAATCATCTCAGCAAATCTGAAAATCTGAGGCTCCAAAATGCAACCCCTCTGAGGAAATCAGCGCCCGAGCCTCCTAACAGCTCTGATGAACATGTCTCTTGTACTGCGCCTGCTACGGAAAATGCATCTTTGCAGATCCTCTTCACGCCATCGTTTTTGGAAATTCTGCAAAACCCTCACGTTTTGCCCACTTTTGACAAGGTCCACAATCCCTTGCGCCTGCCACGTGAAACGACATCTGAACGTCCAAAAGTGGCGCGAGCATGTGGTATTTTCAACATTTTGACTTCGAAATGTGCTTCGCGCCACAACGGCGTGCACTTTTTCGACATCTCAACTTTCAAAAGTGGTCCGAACCTGGTGTGTTTTGTACATTTTGACTTCGAAATGTGCTTTGCGCCACAACGGCGTGCACTTTTTCGACATCTCAACTTCCAAAAGTGGTCCGAACCTGGTGTGCCTTGTACGTTTTGACTTCGATTGTCTTCGCGCCACAACGGCGTGCACTTTTTCGACATCGCAACGTCTAAAAGTGCTCGGAAGCTGCGGTGTTTTGCACATTTTGACTTGGAAATGTGCTTCGCGCCACAACGGCGTGCAATTTTTCATCTCTCATCTGGCTCCGCACCCGCCACTTTAGCGAGCCTACTTTTCGACCCTCCGGAGCCTCAAATCATTGGAAAAACACAGTGTTTCGCGATTTTCCTACCTTTTCGCGCAGCTGGATCTTCTTTCTGCTGACTCTTTCTCTTTCTTCTTCTCTTCTCTTCTCTGACTCTTCCCACCTCTGCTTTTCATCTGTCCATATTATCGGAAGCTTGACTTCTAAACTTCCTTCGATAACAGTTTTTCTCTAACTGTTGTCATGTCTTCACTTTTAGATTTGAATTCATTAACCTTATGCAAAATATAAAGGTTATAGAAAACTTTAAAATTAAGGTTAATAAAATATTAAGGTTAGTAAAATTTTTCCAAATAAAGGTTAGAAAAAAACGTGTTAAGGTTAGCAAAAACGCATGTAAGGGTTAGAAATAGTCTTCCTTTTTATATACAGTATATAGTGATATAGAGTTTAATATCAGCGGGGCAGGGGTCGGGTATGGTCATGTCCCCTCGTGCTGCGACAACAAAGCCAAAGTTTATGATCCACCTCCAATGTTGTCAAGGAATATCACATCACTTCCCTGTTGAATCTGTTGAAATTGCCCCTTTTGATCCATTTTGGGAATTTTAAGGAAATTTAATTGCCTTTTTGATCAATTTTGTATATTTGGTGGTCTTCTGGGGGTATACCGGTATACCCCATTACAAGTCTAGACAAAACCAGATCATCAGTGGCATCTCCATGATTCAGCGATATTCATCCTGTGCCAAGTGGCCTCTGGTCCAGTTGGGATGGATGGAGAAGTACTCATCGGGCATGCTGTACCTGGGTGTCGCGTCGGCGAAACGGACCTGGTCAAAGTTGGGAATCTGGACATTTCGGGTGGTCTTGAGTTCTTGTACCCAAAAAACTCCGACCAAATCCCACGTATAGACACACAAACACACAGATATATATATATATAAGTATACATTTACGCTTCTATAATTATGTACGCACACACACACACACGTATATATATATATATATATGTATATATATATATGTGTGTGTGTGTGCTTATATATATATATATTTTTTAAAAAAAATATATATATATATATGAAACTCATTTACGTAATATATACATGTTTATATAATATGTATATATATATATAATAAGTATGAGTATTATATGTATGTGAATATGTAGATATGAGTATGCCGTATGCCACAACTCACCACAGGACTGATCGCAAACATCTGAGGCCTCAAAACTCTCTTTTTCTAAGGCTGCTGCTTTCGTCTGGCGGCTAAAACCTCGGAGGTCCGGATCAGCCGGACCCCTTCCCCTTGTCTTTTGCTGATTGAGTAAGCCTAATATGCTAAACCCGATAAATCATCCCCAGTGTCATCAGAAACGGGCTGTATTAAAACTCCCAAAGGAGGCGAACAAGAGACTCCACAATGAAGAGATCCGGTGCATTGCACCGTCGTTTGGGGAGCATTTAACTCTTGAATCCAACCACAACCAACCCATGCGTGAATCCAATCATAATTAAACCGTCCCTAATTTGACCCGGAATAAACGGTTTTTAAACCATCCCCAATTAGGTTCGTCCCCCAATGGGACCTTCTATATACATTTCAGCCCAAGAGGCTCCATCCATCACTGCGCGGGTCATTTCCGACCAGCGACACACCGCCCTGTACTCCTGGATTGTAGCAGTTTTGATGCCCCAAGCCCGAAGCACGTCAACTCTTTTTCATGGCCTTCACATCTGTGGCCTTACCGAATAGATCCGAATAGTATGTATTATTATGTATTAGTATATCGTACATTCAAGTTGACGAGACTTGAACATCTTCAAACCATGTTAAACCATGTTAAACCATGTTAAACCATGTTAAAACACATCATTGGATAATCAGATATGATATGAATTGATATGATAGAATCTACCTGTAGGACCCTGTAGCTATCATTCGGATGAATTTCGCGATAACGGTCACCTGTGGCCCCGCCCTTAGCATCCCTTAGCCCTTGTTCCTTTGAATCCGCTTCGCCCACAGACGACACGAAGGTACTCTCGCGTTCAGCCGCAAGATTGTTGACTTCAGAAGTCTCCATTTCCTCAGAGCTGGCACTGGAGGTGTGGTAACTTTGGAATCCAGCTTGGGCCCACGAGTGCTGCCTCTCATTGTGTAAATTTACCCAATTTACATTAATTTACCCTATTAGTCTCGCATATTCCATGTGTTTCCGATCTTGTGACATCTCATTCCCAACTGCTTTGACATGTTCCTGGGCAAAAAAGAGCATGTCATATTATTAATTCCTAATCAGGAAAATAACTTTGGGGAATGCTTTCCATGTTGTAAATATTTAAGACGATCATATTAATGCTGAAGTCGACCGCTGAGGTCCTTATATTCTACTCAGATCGTCTCAAATCCATTCCCTATCAATTTCAACTAATTTGACATATTTGTTCGGCCATCCGATGCTTGAAACACACCTCTCATCCCGTCCTGAGATGGGATTGGTTTTCTGCATCACCAAACACAGGAAAACACCATGGAGTGAGACTTCACTCACCTAGCTCATGGGAAAAAACGTGTTTGGCACTTTTGTCCATGTTTTTCCCCATCTTTTGGGAAAACGCATGGAGTTTCCCAAGGTTTTCCCAGGGATCCCCAGAAACGACCCCCGTCGCCGTCAAGCTGCCGTGGGTTCTGCCGCAATGGGCTTCCACGAGGACCCGGGCTTCGGCGCCGGCAGCGCCAGGGTGCCACCGCGCGAGGCATCCCGGGCGGCGCAGCAGAAGCCGCCTCACCCGAGGGATGAGCAACTTACCCGAAGAATAAAGATAGAATCAGATAGAATCAGATAGCATCAGATATTCTATCAGATAGAATCCCTAAACTCCCATAGTTGGAACATGTTGGAAATCTAGTGACGTATGTCGACTCCAGTTTCAATCAAATAGCAGAAAATATGAGAAAAATTGACAATGCATTTCGGCATCGATTGTAGCCCATCTTCCATCGAATGTCTGCCTCTGGAGGAAGTGTCTGCATCAGAGTGGCCCGCAGTTTTGAACGCATTCACTGTCCTGCACCAGCCACCACCAACCCCAAGCCTCACCAAACAAACAGCCCTGGCAGGTCGGCAGCTCCTCGCTGGAAACTTTTCGGCAAAAGATGTCAGCAAAGATTCCTTCAACTTGTCCACTTCCCTTGTGATGATTTCCTGGAAGTCGCCACCTGCTGCAGGAAGCCAAACGATCCAAAGGCTGGGAAGTGCTGATGTCCCAGCCTGCACCGTCCACCGACATTCTGAAGCTAACTTCCTTGGGTCCAACATGGTCCAACCGAGTTGCTTGGAAGCAGTTGAATAATATTGAATAATTGGATGATGACATCATGGTCCTCATGGTATCTGCTGGCCCGGGTTCCGGCTTTCAATTTGACACACATTCCGTCCAGCACATGTCTAGTGTGAACAAGTTGCAGAAGCGGAAGCCGCAGCGGCGCGGGGACCGAAGCCAAATGCCCCCAAGAAATCTGCTCCACTGTTGGAGTCTATGTTCTCGATCTGCTCTGCATACAATATATAATTATAAATGTACTATATATCTATCTCCCATATCTCCCATGTTACGTTGGTGCATGTTCATATATGATACGAGTATGTGTTTCCTGTACGAGCATTGATTTCACATGCTGAACATTCTGTCCATCTTGCCGGATCTTCCATGGTCATTCCACAGAACGAAGTCATGTACCCCTCTTGTGCTACACGCCGCGGAGCACAACACACCAAAAACATCCACTAAATATCACAAATTGCACCATGACAAGGATAATACAAGGATCAGAGTTTGAAATATCTTGATACTACTTGGCTCTGAGACTGTGGAAGGACTCACATGCTCAGATGGCATACCTTCCACCACTTCCGCCTTGCAGCCTTGCAGCCTTGCAGCCCCGTGGCGGTCCTCAAAAACTCCAACATGCCTCTGGAGGTCGCGCATTGCACCAAATCCAGGGCAACTATGGGGAACTGGAGGTTTCCATAGGTTTCCCAAAGGGGAGCACCAATCATCCAAGTTGTTGATCATTTGACAAATGATGAAATAATGAAATATGTTTAGTCGGACACCCATTTGCGGCACCCTAATTTTCAGAAGCGACACGAGTGGCTCTCGCACATTTCCGTGCTGTTTCCACCCAAAGTGTCACATATGTTCACCATGCTTCACATCGGATCACTTGGATCTTGTTGTGCCAAATTAACCGACGAAGTCGCCGAGTAGACAAAGTTTGGTCGAAGTCAAACCTCATCCAACTCGCGTGCAGCATCAATCCATGGGCACCCAAAACTACTGTCGAACCTACCATGCAACAACAGTTCTTTTAAACACAATATGTCCACACATACTCATGGTATCTCATGGTCTTGTATAAGATGACATCCGCATGTCTCGGATAGTATCAAATGAATTCAAATGAATTCAAATGAGCCATCTCCAGGCTATCTGCACATATCATCACATATCTGGACAGCAACTGGGCCCCGTGGCACGATAACTGCAGCGGGAACCGCAGGACTCGACTGATGCTGGATGGGCTGAGGGCCTCAACCATATGATCAAGGCGGTTTGTAACGGGGTTGATGATGTTATTTCACGCCATTTACAACTGGTCTAGATGACTGCAGTTCAATGATGCTCGATGTTCTTCATCATGTTCTGTACTTGATAAACCTTCGCAATAGTAATAGAAAACTAATTATGACTTCCTACTTGCAACATTTAAGACGATGTGCTATTTGAGCCATGTTCTAAATGTCTTGTATCCTGGCACCAAGTAAGGAAATGTTTACGCTGGTGCTTGCGTTTTTCTACGCGCACACAGGTTTTGCTGACGCGGATATCTTATCTTACGCTGAGCTTACGCTGAGCTTACGCTGAGCTTACGCTGGCTTACGCTCACCAGAGTTTTGCTTACGCCACACCCTTACAACAAGGGGCACCTTCCTCAACATGAACACAAGGGTTTAGCACGTGGTTCATTTGAATCTTAATTTGATGCCCGCATTTGAACCATTGCACCGTCGGTTACCCCTCACTGCGCCAAATCTGCCAGCTTCGGACCCCAACCAGCGGAGTTGAACGGGATGTAGGACGGATTCAATCCTTGAACGGCACCTTAAACGCAGCATGTTCATGGCGAAAATGGATGGAACATGGCAGAATAGACACCATCAAAATCCATCAAAATTAGGTCCCGATTTTTAGGCCCATCCTTTTGGCATCCGACCATATCCAGCCATATCCAGCCCACGTTCCAAGTCAATGCCACGGTGATTTGCCGCCACCGAGAGGCTGGCACAATCCACGTCTTCGACGTTCTTTGGTGGCGATGGAAAACCAAGCTGTGACCAGGCAGGTATTACCTGCAGTGATGTCTGAAGGACAGCAAGACGTGGCCATGGGTGTAAAATGTAGATAACTGTAGCACGTAGATATCCACCATGTGCTGCGGAGCACTTCCAGTCCAGTGCTGCCCATAATACCATGCCAGAATATCATGCCTACACCTGGCCACATATGGCAATGACGGAAATATCAACCAGCGCATTGTCGCAAATCAACGCACATCAGCTTGAAATCAACATACGTCATCGTAAATCAGCAACTCTTCTTTAACTTGACCTTGTCAAAACATGCCAAAACGCAAACCTTTGCGGCATGGGAAACAACTCTCGACATCTCTCAGCCCCAGCTGTGCCCAAACGCGCCGCCTGATCCTTGAACTTGGCGAGCCACTGCCGCAAAACGCGATTTCGGCCTGGAGAGGTGTCTTCCGGTCCGAGAATTTTGCCCAAGTGGCAAAATGGATCCCAAATTTTACATATAATGATCAAATATTCGCCAAAGGAAGTTTCGAAAAGTCAAGCTTCCGACAATATGGACAGATGAAAAGCAGAGATGGGAAGAGTCAGAGAAGAGAAGAGAATAGAAGAGAAGAGAAGAGAAAAAGAAAGAGAAAGTCTCAGAAGAAAGAAGATCCAGGTGCGCGAAAAGGTAGGAAAGTCGCGAAACATTGCGTTTTTCCAATGATTTGTGGCTCCGGAGTGTCAGAAAGTAGGCTCGCTTTAGCGGGTGCGGAGCCAGCTGGCCAGATGAGAGATGAAAAAGCGCACGCCGTTGTAGCACATTTCCAAGTCAAAATATACAAAGCACACCAGGCCCGGACCACTTTTGGAAGTTGCGATGTCGAAAAAGTGCACCCGGTTGCAGCGCGAAGCACATTTCAAAGTCAAAATGTACAAAGCACACCAGCTTCAAACCACTTTTGGAAGTTGCGATGTCGAAAAAGTGCACGCCGTTGTGGCGCGAAGCACATTTCGAAGTCAAAATGTACAAAACACACCAGGTCCGGACCACTTTTGGAAGTTGAGATGTCGAAAAAGTGCACGCCGTTGTGGCGCGAAGCACATTATTTGGACGTTCAGATGTCGTTTCGCGTGGCAGGCGCACGGGACTGTGCACCTTGTCAAAAGTGAGCAAAACATGCGGGTTTTGTAGCATTTCCAAAAAGGATGGCAGGCGTGGGACATTTGAAGAGGATCTGCAAAGATGCATTTTCCGTGGCAGGCGCAGTACAAGAGACATGTTCATCAGAGCTGTTAGGAGGTTGCATTTTGGAGCATCAGATCCCCAGGTTTGCTGAGATGATTTTGCATGACAGGTGCAGCACTTCGTATGACCCGGTATCACGTTCTTGTGGCAGGAGCAGTAGTTTAGGTAGGCGGAGTCGAAAAATCGCGAAACGCATTGGTACGAGGCCGTCAGCTCTGCACTCAACTTTCGATTTTTGAAGGAAGTCTCGCAAAATTGCTTCGTTTTTGACGTTGTCAAGTGCAAAAATTGAGGAAGTCTCGCTGAACTGCTGCGTTTTTGACGTTGTCAAGTTCAAAACCTGAGGAAGTCTCGCAGAGTAGCTTCGTTTTCAAGCTTGCAGATAGACAGATAGATAGATAGACAGACAGACAGGGAGATAGATAGAGAGAGCGAGAGCGAGAGAGAGAGAGAGAGAGAGAAAAAAAAAGAGAGAGAGAGAGAGATATAGACAGATGGATCGATAGATAGATAGACAGACAGACAGATAGGTAGGTAGGTAGATAGTCAGAGAAAGAGAGAGAAAGAGGGAGAAAGAGAGAGAAAGAGAGAGAAAGAGAGAGAAAGAGAGAGAAAGAGAGAGAAAGAGAGAGAAAGAGAGAGAAAGAGAGGAGACCTCAACCACCTTTCGGTCCATCAGTGGATTCGCTCTGCCATCCGTGATTCACAACAACCAACCTCTCATATAGGCCTATAGGTTTCCTATTTTTGAAACCTCCGCCACCGCCTTGTGCGGTACTACTGGTATAAGAAGTATATTATAACAATATTATATTGAATAGTTTTATAAATATATATATATACACATAATTTGCGTGAATGTATGTTATCCATATTATCTACTGTTGGGAGAGGCCACAAGATTGGCCGTCCCAAGAGTCTTGGTGGCGCCTGCGGGAGTCTCACGCTCCAGGCTGGCCTGGAACGGATGTCTCTGCAGGAGTCCAATGTTTCCAGGATGCTATGGCTATCTATAGATACCCTCCGGTAGTTTAACATAGCTATTGAAAATGACCATTTATAGTGGATTTTCCCATTACAAATGGCCATTTTCAATAGCTATGTTAAATTACCAGAGGGTAATATCTGATTTACCATATTTGCATATACATCATATACTATGATCCATCTATTTTGGCTTTGCCATGGCAGCCTTCAGCGCTGCCATGCCGAAGTGTGCCTGCAGGGGAAGCTCACCAGAATCAGAAACTTCTGTTGGGATATGGATACGAACTTGGAACTTGGAAACATCACTGCGGGTATCTGGGGTACAGTTTTGATGGAAGCTTTTGGAACTTAGATTGGAACTTGCAACATCTTGGAACCATCAAAGCCCAGGTGATTGAAAAGCTCAAACAGGTAAGAGTGTAGAATGAGAATTCTGAGGGATCGACAGCTTCTTTGACTGCCCATCGCTCTTTTCTAACCTCGGCTGTTGCAGCCCTGGTGGTGAGTTAATTTTGAACACGAAACTGTAAAAGCATCCCATCTCTCTGCAGTCAGCTCACAATTCTGCATGACATCAAGGTGCTGCACTTTTATATCTATAATCCTTGTCAAGAAAATCTGTTGCAAGAATCCATTGCAAACAATTAGTTCGAATCCCTTGAGCAAAGCACATTAGCAGCCATGCGGCCATGCAGTTGACCAACCCCCACATCTTGCTCAACCAATCACGCTGAAGCGCAGCTCAGTCACTGCTTCAACCAACTCCAAGGTTCTTCCAGCCTTGAGGCAATCGGCTTACCCATCTTACCCAGTGGGGTAATCAGACATGGCAGTGGGAATACATGGGATACCCGGTTGATACCATATAAATAGAGGTTTTAGGAGGAAATCATCTATAAATGAGGGATTTTGCCCAGGTTTCATCATCGGAGGGCAAGCTTGCCGCAAAAAATTGGGCCACACCCACGGAATCAGCACTTCAGAAAATCAGATCCAAACCTTCCAAAGCCAGTCACTTGTAAAATCTTTGAAGGACTCAGCCACTGAGCTGCACACATGTCCACTTTCTGCTGCAGCAATGAAGTCCCTCACCTTCAGTTCCAAAGTCGAGCCGGGAAGCACATGGTGAACGGATCCTGAGGCAATTACCCATGCATCGGACATCCAGGGGCCGATGGGTGGGCCTTAATCTATAGGTCCCATCAAGCTGGAGCCAAAGGTTTGTTCATCAAGTTGTTTCATGTAAAAAAACGGGCAAAGAGATGTCCCACGGCTATCCGGCCACAAGATCCACAAGGATATATAACCACGCACAGTATGATTTTAACTTGTTTTGGGGGAAATTAATTTAGGATAAGAACTACCCAACTTTAAGCTCAAAGGTTTTATGATGTTTTATGTAGCCGCGATAACCCCACTTGGAAGTACCGCTGCCGTCGCATCACAAACATCTTTTCGTCGCCAAATCGGCTAAAGTGTGATGTCTCTACAGCCGCGGCGGCCGTGGGTCTGGGCAAATCACCAGTGATCCCATGTGTTGAGCCCAAAGAAATTGATACCTTAAGTATCATTAAGTGACTTAAGTGCCAACTTGGATAGGATAACTCTCAAATAAGTAGAAAAGGAATCTTTCTTTCACTTCGTCCCAGGTCCAGTTTCGTCGAAAATCCTCTACAGTCGCTCAATGCGCACCATTGCCATCTAGTCTTTCCAGCAAAGCTCCACTAAAATCAATACATGATAACTAGATAATTTAGATCATGTATGATAATCTGATACTTAGATACTTATATAATTTTATATACTCATATACTGAGTGGGAGTCTCATTTCATCACCAAACCACTCAAAAATCACAACGAATCGAAGATTTCTGCCTGGACTTGGGCCGCCATGACATCCGGCGCCATCTTGGCGCCGGCGCTCACCAGCCAAAGCCTCGGGCCTGGCTGGAAATTTCGAGATTTCATGGGGAAAAAACATGTCGGCAGGTCGTCCCTTAAACCAAACCATAAAAAGCCGATAGTGTTGAAAATGTCTTAGATACATGCGTATGCAGCTATAGCCTAGCTCTAGTTGGTTGGAATTACTACTATATGAATTATTTACTACAAGTATTCAAGTATGTGGTATCTGTAATTGATCGTTACAATACATTTATATTATTTGGCTATTAGCTGCTGGTGAGAACTCATAGTAGATCATAGTTGTTTCTTCCTATAGATAATGATTAATTATAGTCCATTATAGCTTATGATAATGATATATATATATACGTATATTCATTGTATAATTGATACTAATGTCACGACCCAACAGTCAGTAATTCAGGTTGAGAATTAATATCGATAGAATACATAGCCCCTGATCATAATAGTTGGGCCCCCAACTGGTGAATAGATCCAATGCTGAACCGTGTTTTCGTTCCGAAGTATTTAATATTAGGGGGAGACGGGCTAAAATATATTTATTTATTCTTAAATAATAGTTTACACAAATTTTACTGTCACAGATAACAATGATCTGACATGACCAAACATCTCAATTTGGCCAAGGCAATCTCAAAACACTGTAAATAGTAGGTCATTCTAGCATTCCTGAAAAGCTCAGGTAGGTACAGTAGGGAACATGTGCGTCGTTGCACAAGTCATACTGATCCCTGACACCCTATTTTTTTTAGAAAAAAAAAACTTTAACCCAAAGCCCCAAACCCTCAAAACCATGGTAATATAAGATGAAACCTCAAAAACCTAAACACCCAAACCCTCAAAACCATGGAAATATCAAATGAAACCTCAAAAACCTAGACTCCTAAACCCTCAAAACCATGGAAATATCAAATGAAACCTCAAAAACCTAAACACCTAAACCCTAAACCCAAATTCTTGAGACCTTAAACCTTGGAAACCTAAAGCGATGTTGGACGAAACGAGATGTTTGAGCATAATGCAGAATAATGATACTGATAGTGAGGATAGTGTTTATATACAACAATGAGAACAATGATCCCTCATCCTCATCAGTCCCATCATCCTCGTCATCATTATCAACATCACAAGTGCTCCGCTTTTTGGGGGGGTATGTCCTTGCCATAACAAGATCCACCACCATTGGGTATCCAGCCATCATGGCCCTCTGCTGGGCCAATGGTACACCAGGCACCCCGTACCTCCGAAACTCCACGTTTCTCCGTGAATTTCGGAATCTAGAATCTACCATAGTTATTGAAAAATGGCCATTTATAGTGGATTTTCCCATTAAAAATGGTGATTTTCCATAGTTATGTTAAATTGCCAGAGGGTAGATGAATCTAGTTGATGGTTCCAACCCGGGATCCAATGAAATTAAGACTGCGTTTTGATCTTGCATGAACTGCTCATGGCTGATCCTTCAATGATCCGCAGTGCATGTCATGTGAGAGACTACTAGGGCACCCCTGTTGCTGCATCCAGGGTCTTTGCATGCCAACTGGCATGGCCTCAGAGAACATGGCAATTTTGGGTGTTAGATGTGGGTCTAGCAGCTCGTTTGATGTTTCTAAGTGCCCGGCACCAGGCATGCCGCCTGGCATGCCGCCTGGCATGCCGCCTGGCATGCCACCTGGCATGCCACCTTGCATGGCGCCGGGCATGGCACCAGGCATGGCACCCGGCATTTGCATTTGCTGCCGTGCTGCCTGCTGCCTGCAGTGTGGGAGTGTGGGATGCGAAGGGCGGGATGAGAGGTGCCAAGAGATCATGAAACGTCCCAGTTCAGTCAAATAAGGTCTGTCTCTGGGCCCAAGGATCCCCACACGCTTACAAATGCTTTCAACACACGGTTGCCTTGCCAAAGTCATGAAACATGGCCTCTGTTGCTGCTGTAGCAAGGCTTGAGGCATTGCTGGCTCCGCTTTCCTCAGGGGTGCCATCAAGTTGCCAGCCCTGAGGCCTCGTATGCTCAAACCCTGAGGCGTCGGCCCAGTGATCACTGGACCCCCGGCTTTGCTGGGTATCACGATTGGCGCCTTGCTTGATGCCTGGCAGGATTGCGCAGAAACCAGGGAGACTCATGAAAGTTCTTGTTTCAGAGATGTTGGAAGTAAAAGTCATCTACAATGCCAAGAAGGATGCGGTAGCCACTCACGGGCATGTCGAGGTATAACCGTGTCCATCCTGGAGCACATAAACAGATAGAACGATCCAATTCCGCATTGGGGAGTAGATGGATATGAGAATTTGAAACATCCCAAGAAGAAAATCATCTGAATGATGACCCTGCACAGAATGTCCGGATATTTCATCCACATGCTCTGAGTCTAGGGATATCTTTCCATTGGAACATGGGACGACACCGCAACAAGAAACAAAGTTTTGACCACTTCCAAGCCTGAATCCGGCGATGAAGGTTCCACCATGTTCCACCCAGCCAACATATCCCAACATACCCAGCACCGGCCTTGACAGCGGACCCGGTGGCAAATTTCAACCGAGCCTAGGTTCGAACCATGGCCAGGACTCCAAGTAGTTTTTCTCCGGTATGGTCATCCATCCCTTCATGGTAATCCTTATAAACGGCATATACACCCTTCTATATAAATGGATTGATGGCAATCCCCAATATGGGTAAAGAAAATTAAAGAAACCATAAGATCAATCTTTCGACGATGACGCAAATGATGTTCAAAGAAAATCACTTATGACTTATAACAATTATCGTGTAAAAGCTTGACGAGCTCACACACTCACACACACACACCACACACACTCTCAATCGACGGCAGTTATGCCATGTGGTACGTATACCTGTGGCCACAAGGAAACTTCAAAAGGTTTCAAAACGTAGGTCCCCACATATGCTAGGTCCGCTAGGTTTTCAGAAAACTGAAAGCTCAATCCATTCAAATACAACCTCTTACTCTTGGATAGAATGGTTTCTTCGCCACCACCCACAGCTCTCTCAGGATTCCGGCACTCTCATCACCTGCATTCTGCCCAGTGGACGGGAGATGTGTGGAACTTCTTGTGCTGCTCCCACTGCTAGTTGAGAAAAGTTGCCAAAGCAACTGCCCTGCTTTAAAGACAAATATCCTACATCAAGGATGTGATAATTAGCCTTGGTGTTGTCATGCTAGTGACACTGGTGGCAGTCATGATATGTCCCTCCGAAGATTATGAAGTATCTCATAATGACAGTGCTGGAAATGTGGCTGGCTTCTTTCCAACAAATTTGATCCAGAGACAACAAAACTGCGATCTGTTCTTTTGAATCATCCCCCCCCCCAAAAAAAAAAACTCAAGACTCAAGTGACTCAACCAGCCAATGTCATCCAATGTGTGTAGGCCTGCATCAAGTCGTCGCAAGCGCTCGCGACGAGCTTCTTCGGTGAGTTTGACAAAAATATCCTGGGTCTCTCGGCCAATTTTTGAACGTCCAAGTAATCCAAGTAACTGTTCAATGGCTTCCTGAGGAAACTTCGGACTGAAAACCCACTGAGAGCCAGACATTTCCCTCCTGCTCTGGAGCAAGAGTCGATTCTAGCACCTGGCTATCAAACGATTGGATGATGCTCGGTGATTGGCTATGACTAAGCGTGTTCTGAGCCAGATTCAGTGGTCATGTGGGATTCTCAAGCTTTGACGAGAGTTTGGACTTCATTGTTCGATCAACTCCGACTTTGTACGAGCAGTACCATGCCGGAAATAAATACATCCTCGATGGAATATAGGGTGAGCAGCTGTGTACCAGTTTTGTAGGTATGAAATATGGGGTCACGGGTCCCCTAGCTACAAAAAGGTATGCCCAACCCAAAAAGCAGCTCTACAAAATGATGCTGCAGGTACCCCACACATACCCAGGTGGAGCCTACAAAAAGCCACTCGCATTTTTGTTATGGATGTTGAAAACGGATGCAAAAGCGACTAAGATAAGCCCAAGTCTTTTTGTAGTCTCACCCAGTTTGTTTTCGAATCATCTTTGCTCAAAGCCCAGTATGGTATCTAATATGCGTGTCAATTAGTGTGACATCGTGTCATCTAGAGTCAATTAGTGGTGTCAATTCGTAGCGATTAGCTTTATTTAGTGGCAAGTAGTGCAATTAGTGACATTTAGTGTCCAATTAGTGTCAATGAATGTTATTTAGTGTTCATTAGGGTCAATTAGGATCACTATGGATCATTTAATTGTGTGTAATAAAAAAACAAAAAGCAACCAAAAAACAACAAATGAAGAGTTCCCACAAAACATTGCCAAGAGCTGCAATTTGTGTTTTTTACTAGGGTAGGTGCGTTATTTTAGGGAACTAAGCTACGCATATTTGTATAACTCCAAAGACACGGTGTATATATATATACACAACTCCAAGGACAGAGTCCTGGACTATATATATATATATACATACATATGTAACTCCAAGGACAACGTCCTGGTCTATATATATATATATGATTCTATATGAATATACAATAACTCCAAGGACAAAGTCCTGGACTATATACGCATAAGTAACTCCAAGGACAAGGTCCTGGTCTATATATATATACATACATACATAACTCCAAGGACAAAGTCCTGGACTATATATATATACATATGTACCTCCAAGGACAAAGTCCTGGTATATAAATATATAACTCCAAGGACAAAGTCCTGGACTACATATGTTTCCTATTTAAAAAAAAAAACGTCCCTGTTCAGGACACTGCCTGTTCGGCAGACTAGTTACTGTTTCGTCATGGTCCTGGCTATAGTATTTATTTTCAAGGACCACATCCTAGTATACATCTGTAGCAATTTACATATATATATGTGTTTTTTTAATACTTATATATATTTATATATATATCTGTAGTATTAACTACTTATATATCTGGGTTTTATTTCGTGTCGAGCACCTAAAGTACCAAAGTCTGCCCATCCAATTACTGCGCGCTACAAAATGATGAGGCCGCCTCACTTCACTACAAAATGCATGCTGTGATCAACTATTGCATGAAGTTCCAACGACCCTCACGTAAGCATGGTATCTAATATGCGTGTCAATTAGTGTGACATCGTGTCATCTAGAGTCAATTAGTGGTGTCAATTCGTATCGATTAGCTTTCTTTAGTGGCAAGTAGTGCGATTGAGTGTCAATTAGTGACATTTAGTGTCCAATTAGTGTCAATGAATGTTATTTAGTGTTCATTAGGGTCAATTAGGATCACTATGGATCATTTAATTGTGTGTAATAATAAACAAAAAGCAACCAAAAAACAACAAATGAAGAGTTCCCACAAAACGTTGCCAAGAGCTGCAATTTGTTTTTTTTACTAGGGTAGGTGCGTTATTTTAGGGAACTAAGCTGCGCATATTTGTATAACTCCAAAGACACGGTGTATATATATATACACAACTCCAAGGACAGAGTCCTGGACTATATATATATATATAACTCCAAGGACAAAGTCCTGGACTACATATGTTTCCTATTAAAAAAAAAAACGTCCCTGTTCAGGACACTGCCTGTTCGGCAGACTAGTTACTGTTTCGTCATGGTCCTGGCTATAGTATTTATTTTCAAGGACCACATCCTAGTATACATCTGTAGCAATTTACATATATATATATATGTGTTTTTTAATACTTATATAAATATATATGTAGTATTAACTACTTATATATCTGGGTACCAAAGTCTGCCCATCCAATTACTGCGCGCTACAAAATGATGAGGCCGCCTCACTTCACTACAAAATGCATGCTGTGATCAACTATTGCATGAAGTTCCAACGACCCTCACGTAAGCATGGTATCTAATATGCGTGTCAATTAGTGTGACATCGTGTCATCTAGAGTCAATTAGTGGTGTCAATTCGTATCGATTAGCTTTCTTTAGTGGCAAGTAGTGCAATTAGTGACATTTAGTGTCCAATTAGTGTCAATGAATGTTATTTAGTGTTCATTAGGGTCAATTAGGATCACTATGGATCATTTAATTGTGTGTAATAAGAAACAAAAAGCAACCAAAACACAACAAATGAAGAGTTCCCACAAAACGTTGCCAAGAGCTGCAATTTGTTTTTTTTACTAGGGTAGGTGCGTTATTTTAGGGAACTAAGCTACGCATATTTGTATAACTCCAAAGACACGGTGTATATATATATACACAACTCCAAGGACAGAGTCCTGGACTATATATATATATAACTCCAAGGACAAAGTCCTGGACTACATATGTTTCCTATTTAAAAAAAAAAACGTCCCTGTTCAGGACACTGCCTGTTCGGCAGACTAGTTACTGTTTCGTCATGGTCCTGGCTATAGTATTTATTTTCAAGGACCACATCCTAGTATACATCTGTAGCAATTTACATATATATATATATGTTTTTTAATACTTATATATATTTACATATATCTGTAGTATTAACTACTTATATATCTGGGTTTTATTTCGTGTCGAGCACCTAAAGTACCAAAGTCTGCCCATCCAATTGCTGCGCGCTACAAAATGATGAGGCCGCCTCACTTCACTACAAAATGCATGCTGTGATCAACTATTGCATGAAGTTCCAACGACCCTCATGTAAGCATGGTATCTAATATGCGTGTCAATTAGTGTGACATCGTGTCATCTAGAGTCAATTAGTGGTGTCAATTCGTATCGATTAGCTTTATTTAGTGGCAAGTAGTGCAATTGAGTGTCAATTAGTGACATTTAGTGTCCAATTAGTGTCAATGAATGTTATTTAGTGTTCATTAGGGTCAATTAGGATCACTATGGATCATTTAATTGTGTGTAATAAGAAACAAAAAGCAACCAAAACACAACAAATGAAGAGTTCCCACAAAACGTTGCCAAGAGCTGCAATTTGTTTTTTTTACTAGGGTAGGTGCGTTATTTTAGGGAACTAAGCTACGCATATTTGTATAACTCCAAAGACACTGTGTATATATATGCACAACTCCAAGGACAGAGTCCTGGACTATATATATATATAACTCCAAGGACAAAGTCCTGGACTACATATGTTTCCTATTTAAAAAAAAAAGTCCCTGTTCAGGACACTGCCTGTTCGGCAGACTAGTTACTGTTTCGTCATGGTCCTGGCTATAGTATTTATTTTCAACCCCATTTTTTCATCTTATTTTAAGCCTGGCAAGGCCTTGAAACGGGGCACAAGGCCTCCCATTCTGTAGTGGAAATTCGAACGGGGATACTGAGGCTACAAAATGCATTCCCTGATTCTCTTGGGCTGCGTTGTACATTGCATGATTCAGCCACAAAGAGACTACAAAATGCAGTCAGCAATTTATAAGCTGATGTAATATCACATAATCTTCCATTTTCGATTCCACGTTTTGGAGGCCTACAAAAAGCCTATTGTATTTGCCAAACAGGGGGCCTACAAAATGCCTAGGGTAACTTTACTACAAAAAGGGGGGCCCAAGACTAATTTCAGCTACAAAAACCTATCCCCAGACCATTTTATACCGTACACGTGTTCTCCCTTTTTGTAGTGGAAATACCATCGGGGATGGAAATAACACATCCAGATTTGGATGTGTTGATAAGATGATGTACTTCAGTTGCACTGCAATATATTGCAGATAGAGAGGGACTCAAGATACTCCATTCCGACTCCCTAAGTCGACTAGCATCGAACTGGGCCCGGCGCTTTGGGCGGGCAAATGACCACCGTGTCATTGACGAGACCGGCTAACTCCTCCACTGTCTCGACTCCATAGTTCTTGGGCTGCAAGCCCTTCTTGTAGTACCTTAGCTGCCATCATCCCATTTTTTGTTGCGGTTTCACATGGTTTCACTGAGAACCAAAAAACTCCCGCGAAGTTTTGAGTTGAATGCAAACATCACTAACAACAAACGGAAGGACAAAATCGGTCTTGGGTCTCCCACTTGTTGTAGTAGAAAAGGATATGATCCGGATAGATCCCAGACCTGTCATGTGAATTCATGTGACACTTTTGGGCTGCTTCCCACCCTTCATGGCTTCCAGCCATCCGCAAGTGCCCTGTGGCCGCAGTGGAGCCTTTCCGGATCGCCGCAGTCGTGCAAAAAGGCATGCGCCAGAAGGTGCAGCTCAAAACGCAAACTCAGCAGAGCCCAGTCCTGGCTGTGGTGGCCAAGGGTTGGGTCACCTGGGGTCCATCAGCCGCAACCTTCCAGAAGCCTAAGAGAATCTACAGTATCAGTATAAAGATCTTTGGTACGCGATGGTATGAGTATCTTTATCATTCTTAAAGCTTCGTCAGATTTACCTCAGCCATCGTGACCGTCTGCCCCACAGTGCCCAACAAATGCCTATTATGGCCATGCTTTATGGGAGATGGGCCGCAGATGCCTCGAAGCCAAAATTGCAAAAGAGCGGTTCGCCAGTTCCAATGTCCTTGGATCATGGCACTGAACTATCGATGAAGGCGCTATGAGCTGCTATCGGTGTTGTTGGACCACGTGCCGCCGAAGCACAGTGATGTCTTCGATCTCGAAAACGTCGTTTTCAGCTTGCTCCAGCTCTGCCTCTAACTCTTTCAAGTAGTCCACATTCTCCTCCTCCTCCTCCTGACTCAGAACTGGTGAGAGCTGCATAATCAGGCATCTACTACCCAAAATGTCGAATACATTAGAATACCGATGATTACTTTTTGTGCTTGCATAAGCCCACTTACATAGAATTGACCGCACTTGTACGGTGAGACACTAACATATATAGCCCAATCTTGTTCCATTTTTGAGATTTTTTGAGTGGCATTTGGATCGCCCTGCAGTGTCTCTGCCTCTTCAACTTTCTTCTCCTTCGCATCCGTCTCCATCTTGGATTCCTCGGATTCCTTGGGCTCTCCCTCGCCAGTGTCCATCTTCGCCGCGACGCCCTCTGTCTCTTTCATTTCAACATCTTTGCTCCTGGGAAGCAAATTCTTTGTGGCAAAGATCCCGGGAAGCCGCTGGAGAACTCAATGGAAGTCAATGAGATTCAGTGGTTCTGCACGTTTCTGCATCAGGACTGCTGACTCTATCTCACCGCCAGTTAGACAATGCAACTTCCACCTTAATGCCACTTTTGTAGCATCAATTCCTACAATTTCCCGGTTTTTGTCCCGTTCCATTCGCATCATTTCCCATCACCAAAGTCAAGCCACTCTTCAGGCTTTGCGCCCTTCCGAGGCGCCGGAACACGATATTTTCCACAGTTGAAGCGGTTGAAACCATGGTGTTTATGTTGTGTTTGGACCACGTTTTATAGAGGTTTCCCATATATATATATATATATATTATATATATACAGTATATTGGGAAAGGATTGCAGTGACAAAACCAAAGGGGTATACATGCTTGGACTAAGTGGATATACTTTTTGTTGATGGGATGTCCCTTTGGTCTGCCTGCTCACCGTTCTTGGCTTCCTCCTTCTGCTCTGGCATTTCTGCGTCTTTGTTTGCAGTTTGATCTGCTCCCGGTTTTGCTTCTTCTTTTTGTTCTTTGTCCTGGAGAGGTGTCGAACCATCTCATCTGACATGGCGCACTGATTTTCATGAATCGGCCACTGAATCGGTCATATATCACCTTCAGCCCCATTGCATTCCGAATGAAACAGTACAAGGGTATCCCAACTGCGGTGGTTCATGGTGGTTCAAACCAGTAAGTCTGATGGGAGGGCTGCTGTCTTGTCCTGCTCACCGTTCTTGGCTTCCTCCTTCTGCTCTGGCATTTCTACATCTTTGCTTCCATTTTGATCTGCCTCTTTCTCCTCTTCCTTCTGTTCTTTGTCCTAACAGCACAACTGTCAGCGATCTTCAGCCACCTGCAGCCACCCAGCCTCCACTTTTTGTGCCAGTTCCTGTTCTTCCTGAAGCTGTGGTCACTATTGAACGAGCCACAAGGAATGTGTTTCATTGTTAAGCAGCGAGATGAACAAACAGCAGCGGGCAAGTTTGTGATGGATAGTGGGCATGGCAATATTGTCAATATACCAATATTAGCCAATATGGTCCAAAATCCCAACACAATATGGCAGCAACCATTCAAACATCAACCAACAACATCCAACCATGGTGATGTCATCCAAATCACAGCTTCACCTGCTGACAGGGCACCTTTTCCTTGGCTTTGGCAGCCATCAGGGCTACACGCTTCGCTGGGTCCTATGTAAGTGGCACTCCAGGTTGGCCGAGGGACCGGGAAAAAGAAAGAACTCCAGAAACATCCAGACTCCAGAAAATACGTTGGTTGGTGGTTTCTATCTCGTATACCCACCCATACAATGGTCCAAAATATGAAAGTCAATTGGGATCTTCATCACGGTCGAAAATAAAAACATTTCTGCAAACACAAAAGCCAGAATGATTTTGAAATGCCGAGGAATATAATGAAACATTTTGAAGCTCTGGCACTGTGAGATAAAAAAAAACATTGAGGGGGCGGTGTCAGTCGCATTCTCAATTCTCAACCCATGCGCTTTTCGCAACGCTTCAGTCGGATCCATCCGATGCATCCGTGGCCGCAGCACCTCCCAAGGCGGTTGAGCGACACCAATCGGAAGTCCCTAGCGGAATCGCGCCTTCACCGGTCGAATCGGAGTCTAACAGCATCATGTCTGAAGAGAACTTGGGATCCACGTAGCCCTGGCAGGTGCTCATGTGTGAAAGAACTATGATCATCTATGATCAACAAAGGCTGTATCAAACTGATACCAATATTCTAGTGCTGCAAGGCCTCTCAAACGTCAAAACTTGAAGCCTTCATTCATTCTTCTTTCAAGTGCTATTGCTGCTACTACCGTGTGGGAAAAGTAACTGCGCTTGAACTGCACTTGGAAGCTGCAATCCATGGCAAATGCAGCAGAATGCTACAAATTCCTCATTCTCAAGGCCTCTGGCAAGCTGTAAAGCGGCTTGTCCAAGTAAGGCTTGTGTCCTCACCAGGTTGGAAAGGGAATCCCCTCAAGACCATCTGCTGACGAGACCTGACGATGATAGCACAAAATTGACCAAACATACAAGTTATCATAACTATGTCTGGCATCAGCACCTATCAACCATCATCAACCATCATAACTATCCAGTTTCGGAGCCCATCGTTCCCCAGTCCTGGATCTGATGGAATGTCGGCCAGCGACTTTGGCAAGCATTCAGCCAGCTCCTCGTCCAGCTCCACCATCTCGCGATCCAAAAACTGTCGAATGATCTTCATCAACTTATCGGCACTCTCTGTGTCGCCGTGCTGTTTGTACCTGGAGCTGGCTGTGTTTTTTTGGGGGGGGTTCGAAACATAGGACGTGCTGAAGATACAATGAAGATACAGTATGGAAAAAATACAGAAATACTTCACATATTGAGTGGTAAAAACCGATGGTTTCGTATAGATGTTCCCTTCAACGCAGCAAGATCAGCAAGAAGACTTGAGGACTTAGAGCTGGACCCTTCCACTCCGTTGCCGAGTTCCTCCAACATGTCAGCCGCCCTGCGGGTCTCACCCAGCTGCGTCATAACATAGGGACCCTGTGGACCCTGCATGAGACATCCATTCCTGCTAGCTTCCCATAGACTTCCTACACTAACTAGGCTTATCCTAATCTTTCTTGTAGGATTGGCAGGTGCAGCTGATGGAAGGAGTGCGCTATCACTGGCCACTCAAAATTCCACCAGAGTGGGACTGATTCGCCCCCAGTGCCCAACAGTGGTTTTGCAATGCCGCAGCTTTTGATGACATCCCCATCCAACATTTTAAGCGCCAGGCTCACTCAATGTCTCCAAGACAAGCGCCACAATGGCTTTTTCCTAAGGCTATCTCGGCGCCAGAACCGTCTAATGTCCAGCAAAAGTCAGAGGGAAGCTCAAAGATTATTGCTGGGAAATATGTCATGCACCACCTGCCACCAGATGTCTTCGAACTAATCAAACGGTGCCTTGGCATATAAATATGTTGAATTATTTAGATATATGATATATATATATAGAAAACAGAAAGGGATGAGAGAGAGAGAGAGGGAGAGAGAGAGAGAGAGAGAGTGAGAGAGAGAAAAAAAAAGAAACGAGAAAAAATACAAAACTATATATATATACAGAATCACAAGAAGAACCCCAAAATTGATGAAACCACCCAACCCATCTGACATCAAACAAAACTGCGAGCCGCATTTCGGAGCAAGGTGATGGCGAGCTTTCCTCGGGCGAGCCTGGCAATGCAGCTTAAATGGCTTAAATCCTCTTTCCTCTGCCCCAATCCACGGAGTTATTCCAAGGATCATCACATATGGTCATGCTATATGTACAGGATATGGATGAACAGCGTGAACAGCATCGCATCCCAACAGCATCAACAGCTGTATCATGTTGTATCATCATCAGTCGATCGAAAGAAGAACCTTCTTCACTGGCAAGCTCTCTCCCTCTCTCTGCCTGCCTACCCCAATCCCTTTATGTCACCGTGTCCATCTGTCTACTATTTTCTGCGTGTCTACTGCGCTGGTGACTCTATCACTCTACCTTCATTTCCGTATGTTTCTGTCTCATCATTGAGCTATCTGTCTGCCTACCTGCTTACTGACCATGGGTTTGTCATCATTTTCCCTACCAAAATTGCCATGTTGGAGGTATATAGGCATACCAAGGATGTAGAGTGCGAAACGTTGATATAACATCATATAACATGATATAACACCTATTTGTAGATGGTTTAGTGTACCCCCAGTTCAAGTCAGACCCACATCGACCCTCCGCACCATCTACCTAGCGGACCTAGCCTCTCCGGAGAGCAGCCAGAAGACAGCAACTTTGGATCAGGCAACGGTGCGGAATTCACCACCCAGTTCTGCGGGATCTCGTGTCGCCGCCTCGTGGTGGCATGGGATCAAATGCCCCTGAAAAAGCGCCGAAGAATACGGAGGTATAGTGGGATCTTAATGGGGATATGAAACATTGGAATGTGTTGGGATATGTACTAAACAAAATGAATCAAAATGAGTGAGAGTTGGGTCTATTACTGTCCGAAAACGAGGTATACCCCCGAAATGGCAATCTTGACAGGGAAAATGATGATTAACCAAATGGTTTTGGGACACTGTAATGTTTATGTAATTTTCAGACAACCCTATTTGTTAGTTCGGGGGTCTGAAATATCATGAAACACCCACATTTCATTGGGTGCAACAATCCCCTTTTTGGGCCAAGTGATGCCAAGCGGCTTGTTTCCGACAAACTGCACGCGAAGGGTCTCTTCCATGATTGAAAGAACCACTGCTTCGCGCGGTTTCTTGCTCTTACCAATGGAGCCGTCTTTGCCTTATGTTGCTTCAATGTCTTGGGGACAAGAGGTAGCAAAAGGTAGTAGTACAGGCGAATGGAGCTTCTTGGTTGGAGCTCCAGGTGAAAATTGATATACGACACCCAACAAAACCCCTGATATCAAAGGTAAAGTGCTATGGAACTATGGAACCCAAATAAAACACGTCCATGCCGAAGGCCTGAGGCAGATGCTATCATATGATAGGGAAGGAGTGTCGACGAAAAGTAAAGAGATGCCCCAAGATTCAGATTGAATTCCCAAGATGTCCCAAGATGGCCCAAACTATCCCCAAAGGGCCCAAGATGTTCCCAGGACCTTTGCAAAACCATGGCAGAAACTTCAGCCGAGCTACGCTTTGCTTTGAAGTACGCCATTGCCTCAGTTGATCGCTCCTCGAATAGGGAAAGGCTTCAAACCGGGTCTTCAACCCCAAAACTCTCTAAACTTGTCAACTTGAAATAGGGAAATGATGATGAACATTGATGCAACATGGGGGTTCAAAATTTAGGCACACCCAAATTGTATCAAAGTGCGAGGTGCTTGGGTGCTTGTTCAGAGCATCAATCAATGGTGAACTGGTGGTTGGATGTGGTTGGTGGTCGATGGAAACACAGCTCGGCACAAATCCAATGCGTCAACTCTCCCAAAGTCCCTGCAACTTGACTCTCATCCCCCCTTCACACTTGCACTCCCCAAGCATCAAAGATGGAGCCCAAAAAAGGAGTATGAGTATTCAAGGTTCAGCAGGACAATTTGTCCAAATCACCGAAGACATATGAAAGAAACAGGCTCCCATCTCCAAACTTTAAAACCAGAAGGCATGGCGGATACGGGACATGGGGGGACATGTGATATTCTCCAGGCCGCGGTTTGATCCTCTTGAACCACGATGACCCCATCAGTATCGCCAAGAGGGAGCCCCGTGCCACTGGCGATACGCTCCTCGGTGACCACAAGTGCATTGAAATCTATCGTATGCCACGAAATGATCAGTGTAGGGAAATTCTTGATATCGTCATTGATCATCCCTCCAATTCATGAAGTTTTGGGGCTTGAACCATCTTAAACCTATTACCGGTCAACAGGCTTTCCATGTGTTTCAACTATTGATTGCAGGTCCAGAGTAGTCTTGTATAACTATGTATCTAGAAGCCGCGCCAGGGCAATGCACCGGATTTGATTTGGGTGGGGGGATGGAGATGGGATGGACAAGTTGACCATCGACATGGAATCTGCAGCAAACTCACTGAGCTGCTGACAATCATCTGGTTCTTCTCCAGGAGTGCCTGTGCCAGCCGGACCATGGATTCAATGGTGATTCAATGGTGATTCATGTGCACCCCACCAAGCCTGCTGCGCCCAGGTGGCCACCGTGCGACGCGCTTGTACCTCAATCTGGGTGTCGTGCACCATCGTCAGCACCTGCAGGGGGAAGGTTTGGGAATTTATAATTTCATGTCACGTTCCGTCATCGTCATTGTCATCGTCATCATCGTCATCCTCGTCATCCTCATCCCATTGTGGACATTGTTTCCCATAAGGTTCCGTCAGTCCATATGGAATATACGTATAATATATATATATATATATAAATATAAAATATAAATATAGTGTGTTTGAAGGCATCCGAAGGCATCTGTCCCATGATTTTCGGTTCAATGTTCTTGAAAGCTCTCCAGTTATCATCCCGCAATCATAAAGTGATGATCAATCATTTGGGCGACTCGGTCAAAAAATAAATGTCATAACATGATCATCTCCCATAACCATAACTTTCCAGAATAACTGCTCGATAATTCTTGGGAACCCAATCCACCATTTTCATCCATTTTCCATCCACGCTGAACAATCCCTCATCCAAATTTTGGTGCTACCGAATGGTGCTGGGTTTTGGGATGATTTTCCATGATTTTCCCAACACTGTGGATGGGGGTCAACAAGTCCGGGAACATAAATGTCTTGGCCCTCTGGCAAAGAAATCTGGAATGGGCAAAACATGTTAGCAGGTTTGATTTCAAACAAGGACCTCAGTGGATCTATGGATCAGGTCGATTCACAGTCTTCTGTCAACCTCAGCATCAATGACTAGTGGATTCAAGATAGACTGAGAATGACTCAAATTTATTTATATAGGCAACACAGCCAACATCAACCACAAAGCGCACACTGTTTTGCTTGAGCCATAATAGTCAAAGTATATACACGTACACAACCAGGCGTTACTTTACAGGGAGGTAATGGAGACTATACATAAGCACCATGTAAAAATACCCCCCGTTTACCGCAGCCGCTTAGCGGCTTCGGTACAATTGCGCCTTGTGTACGCTGCCGCGACTTGACCTAAGTGAACAGGAAGATATATGACTGAAACACCTACGTCAACCTCGTGTGGCTCGAATGCAATGGATGTCAAGGCAACTGACGGATGCAAGTCGTATGCTCTTTTGCCGGAGTTGGGCACGATGTTGCACACAGCATGGCCGTGGCTCCCGCCAGGCACCTTCAAACGAGCGTAGGAAATTTACCATTCCTTTGATGTCACCCGAAAGGTACCATGGCAGGAAAACTGTACAGCCATGAAAATGGTGCGAATTAATCTGAGCTCTTGCCTTGAACATCCAATTGCATTGCTTGAGAAGTTTTTGGATTAAATTTTAATTCGTTCAAACTGTGCAGAAGTTTATGCGTTGAAGTTCACTTGAATGGGATAGTGCATAATGTGCGTCAAAGCTTTGGTTTGTTCAATGGGTGCGATGCCTGCCAAGTTTGTCATAGACAGGCATGCCTCCCGGCAAGCAAATTGAAAAAGGAAAGATATGACCTAAGCGTCAATGCGAGTCATCCCATAGTTCAGGTCCAGCGCCAGTACCAGCCTCGCTGTTGATTCCAGTACCACGTGTAGCGGTAGCCCTGAACCCAGTAGGAATCTCCTTCAAAGTCACTGTAGGCCACACCTCCCGGTGGGCTTCTGCCTTGCTTGCCCTTTCCCTTCTGCTGTCCCTTCCCTTTGGTCTGTCCTCCACCTTTGTGATGACCTTTTCCACCATAGCCTTGACCGTAGGGACCGCCGCGAGCAGGCTTGCCAAGGTTCGGCTCGAACTGCTCGTGATGGGGTCGTTCATGCTCAGGTCGGCTGATGGATCCACTTGCATGAGGAAGACTGACCTCCCGGTCGTCGCCGGTGGTTTCAGACTCCTTGTGCGTCTGTTGGGAGGCAAAGTTCGACCATTGCAGCTTGCTGAACTCCACCAATTCTTTTGCGATCTCTTTGGCATCCGAAGCATCAGGCACAAAGTCACGGTTGCCCCAGCCATAAACAATGGGTAGGGGTCTTTGCTTTGGCTTGATGAACTTCGCCACATAGACCGCGAACTGGCCAATGTCGAGAAAGACGCCCCGATGCGACACAAACACCTCGGTGTGAAGATCCAAGGGTTGGTCGGGCTCCCGCTCCGACGATGGCACAAAGATCAATTTGGTGGCCATCTCAAGCTTCTCACCAAGAACCTGGGCTTTGGTGCGCTCAATGGTCGGGCTCACGCAGCCAGCCAAACGCTCAATGAAGAGCAAGGCCTCCGGCACCAAGTTTTGATTCGCCGCATTAAACTGAAAGAACGGGTCGCGGACGAGTCTGTCAACAAGGTCTTTGAAGCCCCTTTTCTTGAAAGATCTGACGTAGTTGCGGGCCATATCTCTCAAGTTGCCATAGGTGCTTCTGGTCCGGACGGCTGTCGAAGAAGACGAAGATCCCTTCTCCGGCTGCCTGGCTACTCTGCCTCTGCGGGGGTGATTGAAAATCACTTTGTCCATGGAAAAGGGCACTCCTCTGGTACGGGCCATCGCCTCCCGGCGGGCAACTTCTGTGGCGATGTTGGCATCGGTCACAGGTTCCATTTGCCGGAAGCAGCGTGGGCATTTCAAATGCCCATCCATCATCAGATATCCGCAGATAGGATGGCTGCAGCGCACCTGAAGTGAGTCTTGGATCTGGTTGTAGGAAATGTCCGTGAACTGCAACTCAAATCCGAATCGACCTTGCCCTCTGTTCCAATTCCCACCACCGGGTCCATTCCGTCCACGACGCTGGAATCCACATGAATCAGTGCTCGTCATGGCGGCCATCTTTGCAATGGTGTAGCCGGGCACCAGCTGAGATCCTGATGCCGGCTCACCCTCCCGGGTGGCAGTACTCTTTTCAACCTCGATGTCCTCACGTCTGGAGAAGGGGAGGAGCTTGCCGAACTCGATGCGGTCCTTGATGCCTTCAAAGTTCAACTGGGCGTTTTCCATCAACATCTCCATGCGGCTCATGAGAACGTCCGTCGGATCAAACTCGGCCTTGGCCTGCTTGAGGACTTCCTGGTAAGTCTTCCGATGGTTCACATAAGCCCTGTTGATATAGAAAAACTCGCCCGACCGCATATCGTAGGCGTTGATCATCGGGAGGTTCGAAATCCAGTCTGGCGACAGGATGGCCTCGTCAGTCGCGAAAAGTTTGTAGCCCATTTGCATCATGAGCTCCATGTCGAACGCGATGGCGATTGGCCTCCCGGCCCGCGTACCTTGCAACTTTTTCATTTCCGCTTTCCAGGGCGGAGTGGAGTTGAAAAAGTTGTGGGCTCTGCCCGTTTTGTACGGGAACCCGCCAGGGATGAGGCCGAACTTGATGATGGAATTGAAGGCGGCTTGGTCACAGGTGTGATACACCACCCTGGGGAACTTGTGCCACACAGGCGAGCCTTCCGGCATCGCGGAGAAGGAGGGGTGAACCGTTGGGTCGTCAACCTTGGTCTCGTCGAAGTTCTCATCAAACGTGAACATCGTTTTGATCATGGAAGACATCCCCCCTTGCTCCACGAGAAAGGCACGATGGCCCTGAATGGCCCTGATCCTCACTGGGGTCCACCTGAGCTTTCCGGACGACAATCCATTCACCTGGACTCGGAAGCGGCGCATCGGTGAGTTGCGCACGATCATCAGGACTTCTTCTTCTCGAAGGTGCGCAAAATCTCCTTGGAGATGCCTCACCAATGCCTTGAAGTCCATAGACAAGTCAGTCCTCCGAATCTCTGGCGAAGGCCTCCTGTGAAAAAGTCGATGGCCACGGAGGTAGTCGGACATAGCATGTGAAATGGAGCTAAGCCTTCCGTAGTCCACCTTTCTCACAGGTACTCCTGCCATATTGTCCGGCTCAATCCAAACCAGATCCTGTGCCGTGGCAAACTTTGACGTGTCAAACTGCTCCGCACTTGGGCCATGTCCCTCATCGACAACCTTCAATCTCTTGGGCATGGCCTTCTTCTTGGGCTTGAGCTTGGCAGTCGGGTCAGGAGGCGTGGCTCCCGCCGACGCAGCTGCAGTTGTGTCAGTTCGCCAGGTCTTCACCGATGATGTACTCTGACCCATGTCGGTCTTCCATGTCTTCGCAGACGATGAGCTCTGGGCCATCTCCGTCTTCCAGGTCTTCGCTGATGCCGTACTCTGGACCATCTTGTTGCCCTGATCATCAACCTCCATGGGCTCCGGGTCCCCCCGTGCATCAGACTTCGAGGCCTGCATGGAAGAGACCTTGTCGATCACGGCCATGTCATCATCGTCATCATCATCGATCTGCTCGGCCTGCCCCTCCTCGGCGTCATGGAACTCCTCTTCATCGACAATCTCAACCGAAGCCACCGTCTCCAGGTCGTCGAGGTCCAGCTCCTTCTCTTCTTCATGAATTGGGTCACTGGCCACGACTCCCGGCGGGCGTTTGTCATCCTCGATGAGGTCCCAGCCTTTGAACTCCTCCTCTTCATCCTCGGCCGCATAGGTGGCATCTTGCCATTCTTGGTCGTGCTCCTCGGAGAGGCCTTGTCGCCTTGCCAAAATTCGATCATCCATAGTGAGGGCCTGAACCTTGACAGCCTCATCGTCCGAATCAGCGTTGTCATGGTGAATGGGTTCCAATGCCTGGTCCTCTTCAGGAATGTCGCGCATCCAGGACTCGACCTCCCGGTCGGCAGAGGCTGTGGCGTTCTCCTCAGCTTGAAGCACCCAGTTGAAAATCTCGATGTCTGCATCCAACATGATCTTCTCAGGATCGGGTCGTTGAGGAAGATCTTGTGGTGAGGATACATTCGAATCGATTTCAAGCTGGTACGCGGCCTTGAGGATGGTGAGGTTCCGGTAGTTCTTCTGCTCCTGGAGATCCTCAATTCTTGGGAGCGTTCTCAAGTGATCGTCGACGCTGATGAGCTTGAGGTAGGCAAGGTGGCAATCGGCGACGGCCTGGAGGAAGTTGGTGACATACTTCCGGTTGATGGCATCGTCTTCCAAATGCACCTTGTCATATCTCACAGTCCTGGCAAGCATCAAGGTAGTGTCCAGGGTTTGAATTCCATGATCCTCGCGCAGTGCCTTGATGTGGACACGCATGGTCT